CCTCACACCCCCCCCCCCATATTTCATATTCATATTTATTTCCGATGGTCAATCATGAAAAAAGTATATTAATTACGCCTGCTCTCTGTCCCTAATAACTTCCTCTCTCATTCTAAAATAAAACTATTACGTAAAACATTCCGCACCACATTCATTTTTTAATGTACTAAATTAGAAATCAAATCCCCTGATTATAGTTCTAATATGCATGCCTTCTTGATCAAAGATTAAGATAATGTAATCATAATTTTATATGAAAATGTTGCATTATTAGAATAGTCTTTTATTTTTGACACTCATGCTTTGGCCTATATATGCCATTTTCTATGATTTCGATTTAATACTGTTTGCAATTTATATGAGCTTTACTGCAAGACGATTTAGAGTCCACGTGTTACATTTTTTCACGTATGCCTAATAATAGATACATTTTTTTAAATGGCAAATGGTTATAATTTTTTGAATATATAGAAACAATATTTTGAATTTACAATTTGATTAGACTCGAACTTCCTTTACATAATATGTTATGCAACAGCGATTTCCATTGATTAAGTATTTCTCCACGATACTGTGCCACACAGAAATAGATGATGAGTTAATTTAACAACCACTATTAAATCATTCCCCATCAGGGAAATCATTTTGGAAAATTAAAGTATCTTTCTAAACCATAAGTTATTGGTTAGTAACTAGATGAGAACAATGAACGTGCTAATTTGTTTTTCATTTACGTCATGTACAGAAGGCCTTTCAAAGTCACAGTTCCACGTAATGACGTCATTGTTGGTGAGCCAGCATTTGTCATACCCGTTGAAAGTGTAAACAACTTTCCCCCGCTAGATTGTGCATCCCCAACCAATGTTACCCCTTCTACAAATGAAAGGAAATAGTGTAAAATTTATTTAGACAGTGATATAAATGACGGCACAGTGCGTTTTGAACACCCTCACACCCCTCACCTGGGTTAAGTTTTCAATCGTAAGGTTACAGTTCATCAACGATTGACAGGCCAGCATGATATTATTTACTCATTCTACAATGTTAGGAATTACTTGCCAATGGTGGAGACAATTTTATACTCTACTGATAATCCCCCAGAAATATTTGTAGGCTCTCAACACTGAATATTGCCTTATCACTGTACATATATCAGGGATTTCGAATTCGATTCAGTAGACCAAACGCCTCTCAAATCGTCTTATTCCCGGGCTTCTCCCTACTGAACCGACGTCTGAGCACCCATTTCCCCATACTAAGCACTCGCTTTACTCACTTTCCCCCTTCCCCTGTCTGCCAAATGCTAGCGCCACCACTGCGGGCCCGCTTAGTTTGTAATTCACGAGGCTGTTAAAAGCTAAATACACGGCGCTATGATAGGGCAAAAAATGCTACTGTCTCCTTAATAAACTAATTGCCAACAAATCTAGCGCATTACGAGGTATTACGAATCAGAACTTAAGATTTGAAATTTAATTATGCCACAATTACAGATGTTAATTAAAGAGATGTGAATAAACGCATACTTTTGAATAGCGGCGTACTCTATGAACTCTTAAATGAGCCATAGGCTCTATGGCTCAACACACTACAATGTTATCAAGGCACGTGTGACGATGGTAAATTTGAGGCCTATATTTATTTTAATTACAAAACGATCATTATGTAATGCAAATCTATGGATAATGAACAAAACAAGCAACCAATAACATTCGAGTTTTAATATAATTGTGTTATATATTGTACACATTTTAGAGAATAATAAAGCTTGGTCAGGTCAAATCAGGCCCGTACGTAGGATTTTTATTGGGTGGGTGCGAATATGTGGAGGTTGGACCAGATTCCTGCTGGGGTCGAGTGGGCGGAGGTTTCTCACGCTCAAAACATTTTTTTACAATTTGAGTTCTTAATTTTGAAGATGCACTATTAACAGTATTAAACAGTCTGTCTCTTATACACATCTAGATGTGGATTTTCACAGATGAGGTTCATACCACCTCAACCCCACGATGATTTGATTTGATGATTTAATTTAATTCAACCCCTATTAAGGGGACAGTGAGCGCTTTCATTGTATCACAAAAACTACAGTAGTCTCAAAATAAATGATTTTGAGCAATAAACTCCACATCAAACCAAAATTGTCTTCCTGGCCTGAATCCGGTGCTTAATGGCCCAATTTTTTTAATTGGGCTCACGGGCCAAGGATAATACCTGAGTAATAAAGCCACTCGTTATAATGTTTTTGGTAATTTCAAATTCTACTTTCGTTGTGCTACACAACAATTAGGGTAGTGCGAACATTAAAATTCTGTAACTTTAAGTAAAGAATACATATTAATATTCCTTTCACACCCTAGTTGTCACAATAAAGAGAATGTTAAAACAGTAAGAAATTGCATTTATATATATATATAAATTGAATATATATTCAAAAAATAATGTAATTCATCATCCAGTCCAGTGCTCAAGAGATGGGAGAAAATTGTTGTTTTTTATGTCTTTAACCTTTAATATTCCTGAGTTTATCCAATTCCGGTAGTATACCGAGTTATTATTTTATTACGCATACTTTATAAGACATAAGTTAGCATAATGTTAATACTGATAGTTAAACAAATTAAATAGGCCTATTAATCTCCAAAATTCGAAAAGAGCAAATGTTATAAAAATATCCTGTTTTCTTTCCTCTATTTTCAATGTAAACCAGGACTTCAACTTTTTAAAACGTTTCTACAATGTGTTTTTAAGTTCATCAGTACTGTATGCGAGTGCATCAAGAGTCAATTGATTGGAAAACGCTTTTGTATCATCGGCACAAACTGCAATGACTGGACAATAATTAATTGATATAGAGAAAACACAAAACAAAGAATAAAAAAATAAT